CAAGGAAAACTCCTGGCCATGGGATATGGCGCTGCAAACAGAATCGCCAATGCTGATGCCGTCAACCGTGGGGGTCCCTCGGATGCCGAAGTCCAGGAGTACACACAAGATGGCAAATACACTGTTCGTGATTAGCGCTTGGCCTATCGTCATGGCCAGCCATTGCACCGAGGCCTGGAGGAACGACCTGCGGAAGGGCCACTTCCAAGCCAGCTGTCAAGCCCCTTGTGGGCGCCGCTGTGCTCGCCCCTCTTCTGCCCGCCTCCTCCCCTCCTCCGCCGCCTCCTCCTCCTCCTCCTCTTCCTCCTCCTGCCCGCCTCCTCTCCTCCTCCGCCGCCCTCTCCTCCTCCCTCGTCCTCCCTCCTCCTCCGCCGCCCCCTCCTCCTCCCCTCCTCCCGCCTCCTTCTCCTCTCCTCCTCCCCTCCTCCGCCGCCTCCTCCTCCTCCTTCTCCTCCTCCTCCTCCTGCCCGCCTCCTCCCCTCCCCCTCCTGGGGGTCCTGGGACAGACGTCGGCGTTCCTCCTCAGGACGACCAACAGAGCAGAGGCGCCCACCAGTAGGTCGAACTCGAGGGCATCTAGATGTGCGAGCTCTGCCGAACCAGAGCCCGCAGAGAGGCCACCAAGACCCAGAGAGACAAGGAGAGGTGTCTTGGGTGATGTGCCACCCTCTCGCAGCCTGCCAAGAACAACAAAGGGCACAACATATACATTCGCGACCGACTCGAGAAGGCAAGCTGTGTCGTCGTTTGCGAGCAATGCGGTGATTGGGCTGACATAATGCCCTGGCCACCCTCCCAACTATTATAAGATGGCAGCCGTCAGCTGCTTCAAGACCTGCCGCCACCTCAAGAATGGGATGCCCAGAAAGCACTGCTTTGCCCCCCTATCACTCTCGATATGCTTATCGAACAGAAGCTCGTGGCGTCAGGGGTTTCAAGCTCTGCCTTAGGCAATCAGACGAAGACATCATTCGGTCAGATGCGCTGGTCCTCATCCCCCTTATCCAACTGCTCGTCCTCCTCCTCCTCCTCCTCCTCCTCCTCCTCCTCCTCCTCCTCCTCTGGTTCCTCGTCCTCAAAATATATCCTCCTCCTCATCCTCCTCCTCCTCCTCATCCTCCTCCTCCTCTTCCTCCTCCTCTCCCTCCTCCTCTTCCTCCTCCTCCTGCTCCTCTTCCTCCTCCTCCTCCTCCTCCTCCTCCTCCTCCTCCTCCTCCTCCTCCTCCTCCCCTCGTTCTCTCCTCCGCCTGTTCCTCCAGTCCTTTTCCTTGTGGATAACTCCTCCCTGTCGCACCCCGAGGCCGGTCGGAAGGGCGGGCATGGCGTTTCGCCTAAGACGTCTTTACCATTTATGAGCCTGAACCCGCGGTAGCGCCGCGGACATTCCTTCCAAACATTTACAACAACAGTTTCACGGATTGAGGGCGGGTCGTTTTCAAAATGTGGTTCTCGCCTTAGCGCCGTGCTCATTCGTCTTCAAACTATGCGAGAGTTTCACGGATTGGGGGCGTATAGTTTTCAAAATGTGACAATGTGACTCTCGCCTTAGCGCCACGCACATTCGTCTTATACATTTGCAAGGTTATCACGGATTGTGGCCGGTTGGCTTTCAAAGTATGGCTCGCGCCTTAGCGCCGCGCACATTCGTCTCCGAAACATGCAAGACCTTCACGGATTGAGGGCGGTTCGTCTTCAAACAAATGCAAGAGTTTCGTGAATTCGCATAATTAGCCTTCTGAGCATCAGGTTTTCGAACGATTCAGGATTGTCAGGGCGCAAGAGTTACGTTGATTGCGCACAGAAGTGGTGTTCTGGCACGATTCACGATCGTCAAGACGCGACAGTGAAGTCCTCATAATGGTGTTTTGGCAAGCTCGCTTCAGGATTTTCACAAGGTTGTCTTCCACCGGGGCACGCCCCTCCAAGGAAGTGAATTCTTGCATGGTGCCTGTGAAGAGGGAGCTTGGAGGGAGGCTGTATCCCAATATCGTTGATGAGTCTTGGGCTTGCACTGGTCCTCCTCCTCCTCCTCCTCCTCCTCCTCCTCTTGCTCCTCCTCCTCCTCCTCGTCCTCATCCTCCTTCTCCTCCTCCTCCTGCTCGTCCTCTCCCTACTCCTCCTCTTCCTCCTCCTCCTCCCCGTATCCCCCCCTTCCTGCTTCGTCCACCTCGTCGCTTCTCGCCCACATCCCCTTCCTTTCCTTCCCCCTCCTGCCTGTGCGTCGCCCGCCCGCTCGGCCACGCGGAGGCCACAGCGGAGCCTCGGCCAGGGACGCGGGGTCCGTCCCCGTGAAGCCGATTGCCAGAAGGCACCTCGGGGGGAGCCCGCGGGTGCGAGGCGCCGAGGAGGGAGGGAGGAGGGGAGGGGGAGGAGGAGGAGGAGGAGGAGGAGGAGGAGGAGGAGGAGGAGGAGGAGGAGGAGGAGGAGGAGGAGGTGGAGGTGGAGGTGGAGGTGGAGGTGGAGGAGGAGGAGGAGGAGGAGGGGCGCTAGGACACAGACGGAGGGGGGGGCTAGGGGGGAGATGGGGATAGAAAAAAAGGGAGGGGAGGGGGGGGGATAGGGCAAGGGTGGGGTAGGAGATGGGGGAGGAGGGGGGAGACAGGGTGAAAACATAGGGGAGGGGGAGGGGAAGAGGGGGGAGGACGAGCTAGGTGATCTCGCACCACATCTGACATCCCATCCCTTCCTCGCATCCCGTCCCATTGCGCTGCTTTGTCTCCATCCGCGGATGCGATTCATAGAAAGCGCGGACCTCCATCACCTCAGCAAAGCACCCTTATAGCAGCAAAGGTAACCTGTAGGAGGACCTATGGAGCAGGTGGAAGCTGTGGGATCTGTGCGACCTGTGATCTGTGGGACCTTTGGGACCCGTAAGACTTCTGTGGCCCGTGGGACTTGTGGACCTGTGGCGCCTGTGGGGCAGGTGGGAAATGCAGACCTGCGGGACCTGCGGGTCTTGTGGGACATCTGCGACCTCGAGGACCTTTGTGGCCCCTGGCGCCCGTGAGACCTGCGACGCTTGTGAGACCGTGGGGCCCGTGGGTTCTCCGTGACCTGCCAGACCAGTGCGACCTGTGGGGCCGGCGGGACCTGTGGGACCTGGGGGGGGACCTGGGGGGGGACCTGGGGGGGGACCTGGGGGAACCTCCGTGAGACCCAGGGGGCCTCCGTGGAGCCTGTGAGACCTACGACACCCGTGGGACCTGTGGACCTTATCAAACCTGTGGGACCCGTGGGGCGGCTTGCGACGCCTGGGGGTTGTGTGGAACCTGTCGGACCTGGGGGGCCTCTGTGGGACCTGGGGGGCCATGTGAGACCCATGAGACCTGCACAGCCTGTGGGACCTGTGGGACTTGCGGGACCTGCAGGACCTGTCGGACATGAAGGGCCTGAGGGGCACGCGAAACCTGCGACACCTGTGGGACCTGTGGAACCTGCGAGACCTGCAACACCCGTGGGACGACCTGCGACATCTGGGGGTGGGACGACCTGCTACTCGTGTGGGTTATGCGGGACCTGTGGGACCTGTGGGGCCTGCGGGACCTGCGAGACCTCTGGGCCCTGCGAGGCCCGTGGGATCCAGAAAGGTGGCTCAAAAACGGGCGAGAGCACCATTCTAAACGACGGGAGCAGAACGCCGATCCGAAAGTGAGGCCCACACTGCAACCGAAGACTGCGGAAACGCCATCTTGGACACCGAACACAATCGGAGTGCAAAAACGAAAACGTAGGGAATGTAACACATCGAGATCCAATGTGTGAAAACAATACGCGGAGAGGACCCAATACCCAGACAGAGTCAGGGGAGAGGGGAAAATAATAGTCATACTGATTAACTGACTGTGGAAAGGAGGGGGCGGAGGAGGAGGAGGAAGGAGATAAAGGAGAAGGAGCGCCCGGGAGGAGGAGAGGGATGAGGCGGTGGAGGAGGGGATGGAAGGACCTTCAAGCCCCAACGGTCCCGCGAAGCAACTCAATTGCTACTACAACTACCACCACCACCACCGCCACCACCACCACCACCACAACCACTACCACCACCACCACCACCACCACCACCACCACCACCACCACCACCACCACTACTACTACTACTACTACTACTACTACTACTACTACTACTACTACTACTACTACTACTACTTCTACTACTACTACTACTACTACTACTACTACTACTACTACTACTACTACTACTACTACTACTACTACGACGACGACTACGACTACTACTCCTGCTACTACTACTGCTACTGCTACTGCTAATGCTACTAATACTACACTAATACTCATTAACTATACTACTTACTGCTGATACTGCTAATGCTACTGCTACTGCTAGACTACTACGGACAACCACTTGAACACTAACTACCACTACTACCTATACTACACTAACTTACTACTACTACTACTACTAATAATACTACTACTACTTACTACTACTATACGGACGACTGCGACTAATTACGACTTACTTACGACCTACGACTACGACTACGACTACGACTACGGACTACGGCGACCTATACTAATACACTACTACTATGATACTACTATATACTACTATTACTACTACTACTACTACTACTACTCTACGACTACTACTACTACTACGACTACTACGACTACTACTACTACTACTACTACTACTACTACTACTACTACTACTACTACTACTACTACTACTACTACTACTACTACTACTACTACTACTACTACTACTACTACTACTACTACTACTACTACTACTACTACTACTACTACTACTACTACTACTACTACTACTACTACTACTACTACTACTACTACTACTACTACTACTACTACTACTACTACTACTACTACTACTACTACTACTACTACTACTATTACTGCTGCTGCTGCGGCTGCTGCTGCTGCTGCTGCTCCTACTACTTTTTTTCCTCTCTAGAGCATGCGCAGCAGGCGCGGTCAAGTCAATGACGCTGCCCCCGCTACCAAGCCTCTCAGGAGAGGAC